TTTGCTTGAATTTCTTAAACTATTTGATTGTTTGCTTATAATTAAGTTATTTTTAAATGCCTTTAACTTTAATCTTTGATCAATTTTTACAATTTAATTGAATTTTTATATATTTTTGAATAATAAAACTTTCACTTAATGTATTTATATCTATTGATTAGACAGTAAATGTCTTAATAAATGATTTATTGACTTAGAACTGGAACTATTGGATCAGTTGTTTACTAAAATAAACTAAATTTGCTTTAAATAACTAACTTTTGTTAAAAATATAAAAGTTTTTGACATTTAAATAATGATAACGTTATTTATGAATGGCTTGAATGACAAAGCAATAGATGCTTGGATTGAGTGATTCAGTAGTTTTTGAGTTGTGTTTTGTATCGCAAATCAATTGACAACAAATCCAAACCCAAAGACCGCAACAAATGGCCAAAAGTCGTCTGCAATACGAAACGGACGGACCGTTTCAGAGGACACAATCGCCGGTCACGACCGGGACGTCGGTCTTAGGCGTGGCCTTCGATGGCGGAGTAGTGATCGCCGCCGACCTGTTGGCCAGCTATGGCTCAATGGCTCGCTTTCGGGACATCTCTCGCGTCCATCGCGTGAACGACAAGTGTGTCATCGGCTGTGGCGGCGATTACGCCGACTATCAGTTCCTTCTGAAGGCCATCCAACAGAAGATGATTGAGGAGAACAACCACAACGACCGGCACTCGCTCTCACCCAACGCTCTCTACTCGTGGCTCACGAGAGTCCAGTATAACCGCAGGTCTAAGTTTGATCCGCTCTGGTGTCAGTGGGTTGTCGGCGGACTCAATCCCGACGGTATGTCGTCATACAGTTGTGGCCACTGTCTCAAGTAATGTATGGTTCCCTCTCTCTCTCAGGCAAAGCATTTCTGGGATATGTGGACAAACTCGGGACGGCCTACGAGTGTCCGTCGATCGCCACGGGTTACGGCGCGCACATAGCGTTGCCGTTGATTCGCGAAGAGATGGACGCCCGCGGAGGACAGCTCACCGAACAGCAGGCGAAGCAACTGATCAACAAATGTCTGACTGTCCTCTACTACAGAGACGCCCGATCTCTCAACAAATACGAGTTGGCGGTCGTGAACAACGCCGGCGCCAAAGTGGACGGACCCCTCACTCTCGAGTCCAACTGGAATATCGCCCGATATGTCAATGGATACGAATAGACATCGGCTTTGATTTGATTTCCATATTATCTTTTAATTATTTTTGTCGATCCTTTCCATAGAGAGAGTGAAACCAATTTGTATTGAAATTTGTATTTAATTTTTATGCGAAAATTAAATTAATATTGAATTTCTGTTTTATATATCGCTTTTATTTTAATATTTTAATTTTAAATGTAATCAAAAATGAGTTAATGTCTTAAACATTAAGGTAATTGTGAAAGACATGCGCATTGAATGCGTGGATGTGTTTATGATTTGAAAAATAATGTCCAAAATGTTGTCTAAAGTGAAGACAGTGTTAATAGACTTGAGCGGAACCATTCACGTGGAGTCCAATGAGATTCCCGGAGCCATCGATGCCCTCAATCGGTAATAGTTTATGTACTTCTCGTTAGGGTTGAGATAATGAACTTTTTATGGTGTATTTCATGTGCAAAGTCTTCGTACATCTGGTCTTAACTTTCGATTCGTGACAAACACTACGAAAGAAAGTCAAAACTTTTTGTTCAATCGCTTGAAAACTATTGGTTTTGATATCAGAAAAGAGGAGATCTTTAGCTCATTAATGGCCGCAAAAGAATTGATTCAAAAACTTAATCTCAAACCATATCTGATGCTCGAAGAAGAGGCCAAAGAGGACTTTGGAGACATTGAGTGCGTAAACAGCGAAGAGGAGAATGGTATCAACTATTGAGATATATCTCAAGATATTAAGGCATTTACTGTATGGTTGTGTTGGAACCGATAGGTAATGGAGTTGTGATCGGTTTGTCTCCCAAACAATTCAATTACGAGTCAATGAATATCGCGTTTCAGATGCTATTAAAGGGCTCGCAATTGATTGCAATCAATAAATCCAAGTATTATAAGACGAGTAAAGGTCTTCGTTTAGGCGCCGGGCCTTTCGTCAGCGCTCTTGAGTTCGCCACCGGACAGACCGCTCAGATTGTGGGCAAACCTAATCACCAGTTCTTTCTGCAGGCTTTGGAACCGTTTGACTGCAGACCCGAAGACAGTGTTATGATTGGAGACGTATGGCATTGATTTCCACGTATTTTAATTAATGTGTTATTTGTATTGTCAGGACGTTTGCGATGACATCGGAGGCGCTCAGGGCTTAGGAATGGCCGGCATTTTAGTGAAGACCGGGAAATACCGTTTGGGAGATGAGAACAAAATCAATCCTTTGCCTCATTATGTTTTGCCATCTTTTAGTGAAGCCATTGATTTAATTATACTAAATAATAGCTAATCAATGATTACTAATCATAATTGTTATATTGTTTTGTAAATAAAATATATAAAGTTATTTAGTATATAAAGTTATATTAATTTCACATTTTGTTTTGCCGTCAATGAGTTGTATTACAAATTAAAATAAACTGTTATTTGACTGAAAGTTCTTCAAAGAAAGTGCTGTAATAATGATAATCATAAACGAGTTATTTTTACAACAGAGATGCTATACGTTGACCACAATTGGGGTGATTCTTAAAGAATAGATTAGCACATGTTATCTACACATTTAATACGAGTCCATATGATTAGTAACCATGAAGACCATAGACTAGCATTGTCTTAGAATTAGCTTTATCCATAGACCTACTATTAATCCATAGGATTAGCATTAGTCCATAGATTTAACATTACCATGATACATTAAAATAATATATTCTGGAAATATATAGGTATTTATTGCCGATTCTTAACAATTATCCAATTGTTATGAAACAAATGATAAAAATTTGTCTGATATTTGTTTGTATTTAAAATAATTACTATTTAATGAATATAAAAGTATTAAAAAAGTATAAAAGTAAAAACTATAGATTTATTTCACAATAGTTTTATTTTTAACGGAAAGTCAATGAATTTATTTATTGAAACGGAAATATTTAGCATCCGTTGACTCGCAAAGCGTTTTAGTGAATAAATTTAGATATTTTTCTTTAAAATGTTTATTAAAATTAATTGTTTATTGATTTTATCGATAATTTCATGTATAGTCAGTGATAATATCGATACGAAATTTGCGATAACTTTCTCGTACCAAAAGTCCGACACAAATACGAGAGACAATGAAAATATTTTCGGCTCTTATTTTGGATATTCATTGAGTGCTAATCAACAAAACGATGACAATTAGTAAGTGTTGTGAACTCATTATGGTTTAAAAGTTAATTATATATACAATTACAGTGTACTGATAGGAGCGCCTAAATATCAGTCCACACTCTATGGAAACTCTGCCCAAAAAACTGGTGCTATATTTCACTGCCATTGGA